ATTTGGACATTGATGTAAGCCGTCATCCTCCAAGTTAGAAATCGGCTGGTGGTCACAAGCTATCATTTCCTCTATAAATGTAGAAATAATTATGGATTTAGGATTAGAATTTTTCTAAATACTAGTTTTATTAAGAATGGCTAATATTGTTGGCTGACTTTCTGGGCTTTTCTTTTTAAGTTTGATTTTTTTCTTCTAATATTTTTCGTTCTTTTTGTATTATTCCTTTAAATGCCGTTTATGGAATCGCTTTATAGATATTAATAGTATTAATATTCATCCCCGTGAAATTAGAATTCCGCAAACGCATTTTGCAAAATTATCTTTGTCATTTGTAAAACATTTCCATAATTCAGATGCCATGTTTAAAAAAAATCCTTTATTTAAAGTATAAATAATAAAATAGGCGTTATTATTTAAAAGATTTAAAATAAATAAAACTTTGGGTGTTCTTTTTATTTTATAAAAATCTTTTAATATACTTTAAATCTATAAATAAAATTAGAGTGTTGAGCAGGAAAGCGAACCCAACAATATTTTTGCCCGGGTTCGGTTTAAGGTAAAAAAATAGGTGAATTCGGTTCTGGATATTTTTGAACCCGGGTTTGGTTTCGGGTTCAGTTCGGGTTTAAGAATTTTTGAATTGATAAAAAAAATTCTATATTTAAATCATAATTAAAAAACTAAAATTTAGTATAAAATATATTTTTTATTTTATGCAAAAATAATTAAAAATACAAAGCAGTCATGTATCAATTTTAAAAATTTTATTTAGACGTATTAGCATAATATCTTCCAAGAATTGTTCACTCATCCTCGATCTATGTGGTGAAAGAACGAATTTCAAATGTGAAAAAGATTTTTCAGCGCTAACATATATTAATATATTCATGTGAAATGGGATGTTTCCTCAAATTAGTTTTATATCTTTTGAAATTCTTCATCTATAAATTTTATTGATACATAAGTTTACATTGTGCAAAATTAGAGCTTAGCGAATCCAATTTACAAAAACCAATATTTTGTTAATTTAATACTACGAAAATCTATGTAGGGGAGACCGGGGTTATATTGTCCATAAAAAATTGAGAGGCTGTGAAAACGAGGAGAAATAATTTGTCAAAATAATTTTGATGTTATTTTATTCTTTATATAATTATCTACGGTAGAAATTAATATCTAATAAAAAAATATTATATAAATTTAAAAAAATGAAAATTTTAGAGTCACGAAAAAGAGACGGGAGACGTATTATCCTTTTGTGGGGCATGTTTTAGACTATCATTTTCTAAGCATTTTATTCATTTTTTTCATACAAAAATCATAACAAACATATAATATTAACATATACAACACATTTATTACATATAAAAAATGGATTAAAATCACAACATGATCCATGTGCCTATAAATGCAATTACGGCATTGGAACCAATCTTCATTATGATGGTGAGTTTGATAGTTTTTGTGGCACACTAAACAAAATTCTTTTTTGCCAGCATTCATATTTAAACTTTTTTATTATTGGTTTGATTTTTTTTTCCAGATTATTAGCCCTAGATCTGGCTATTCTATTTTTTTTTGTAAGGTGAAGAGGTTAAAATGGCTGAAGTCATTTGATTACGTGTTGTTTTTTTAAATATTGTTGGATGGGGACTAATAATTTCTGGAGCAAAATCTTTTCCCACATGAGAAGATGATGGAACAGGACTATCACTGACAGATGGTTGCGAAATAATTTCAGATATATTTAAATTCTCATAAGGATCGTTATTATTATTATAATATAAAGGATTAGAATTTTCGTCATTAAAAATTAAAGGATTTAGGGGCCATATACCTGAGGATTCAAAACCCTTTTGGATATTTGAAGCTGAGGTGTCTTTTGGAAGGACATCCTTTACTACTCCAGGGATATCATATATAGTAAAACTTTTCCCTGGATGCATTCTCATCCAAGGCACTGTTGTAATATTTTTTTAGAGGTCCAAAAACAGTTCTATCCAAGGGTTGGAGTTTTTGAGTGCAATGGGGAGGGAGAGTCAATAGAACTCCACTGTCAGAGCACAGCTCAATGACTTCAATAGATTGGTGAGATTTATGATTATCTATAGCAAAACTTTTTTATCTTGACTGGACTTAGTGTATTTTATAAAATGATTTAAAAAATATATAAAATCTTCAGCCAGCATCCATCCAGAACCATTGGACACGCCAATGCATCCTACAGGGCCATCTCTTAAATAATGATCATAAAATTTTTTCCTGGGATATATAAACATAGGTGGAATAGAATTTCCTAGAGCATTGACAGCAATTGCCAAGGTCATAAGTGTACCACGTTCTGATGTAATAATTGCCCCAACCTGTTTTTCGCCTTTCCTTGCAATAACTTTATTAGGCCGTTGAACTGTTGTTAATCCTATGAAAAATATTAAAGATTTGCTATCATATTTTAATTTACCAGCTAGTCAAATAATTATTAAAAAATAAATCAACCATTTTCATATTGAAATTGGTAGCCCTGGCTATACTTGTAGCCTCTGGTTCTCAAAGAAATAGTTGGATTTCTTTTAATAAATGCTCCAAACCAGTCTTCACCAGCTGATTGAGTTATTTCCCAAGATTTTGTTACTTGTAAACTATACCTCTTGGCCATTTGATAAGCTAAAACTCTAACCTAAATTTAAACATAAGACATTAAATTATTTATATATTAAGGCAATCTAATTAAAATCCTAATTCTTAAATTTTATTTTGAATTTATTTTATAATTAATATAATAAAATATATCACACATAATTAAACCTCTAATGTATAGGTAAGAACCAAAATATGTTTTAATGCATGATATAATTTAATGCTAAATCAATGAATAAATCATTTTAAAATTAATATACATGGCAGCATCATTTTATTTTAAATATATATCATACACACATAATTAAATCTTTAATATATAGGTAAGATATGATTTAATGCATGATATAATATATATAATGATACAATGAATAAATCATTTTAAAATTAATATTAATACATGGCAGCATCATTTTAAAATTAATATATATACATGGCAGTATCATTTTAAAATTAATATATATACATGGCAGTATCATTTTAAAATTAATATATATACATGGCAGCATCATTTTATACATAAATGGCAGCATCATTTTATTTACATATATATCACACACACTTAAATAAATATCATTCTAATGTATAAGTTAAATTCTTACTTTAAAGTATTTTAAAATTAATAAAGATGTTTCATTAACATATAATGTAAATAATTTAAAAAAATTTTCTCAAGTTTATTATTATTTAACTAAAGAAATACCATGGCATAAATTTAAAGATTATAAAAAAATTCATTTTACAGAGATATATGATATAACAAAGGATTAAAATACTTGTTTAGGGCATAATCCTGAAAATAATCTTGATCCTTTAATTAAATAATCTGTTAATTTAGCTTCTTGAATAGGAGAAAGATCTGTGAAGATATCGCTCTTGAAAATCTTCATTCCTTTTTAACAATTTATTATACCTCTTAATGCTTAGTTTCTTAAATATATACTAATTTAAATATATAAATATACCTCCCATAACTTAAATTCGTATTCATGGTTATAACTGTCAAAGGTATCTTATCTTTCAGCATTTGAAGAATACTTGCCTTTTGATTATCATTATTTTCTTTGTTAGTTTTTCTAATATATGTTCGAACCATTTTACAAAATCAGAACCAATATTTTAATGAATGTATGTAAAAGGAAAAGACGCACCCCGCTAATACCTTCCCCAGGTCCACAGTATCATTTAAAAATTAAATTTAGAATATTAAATTAACATAGTGATTGTCAATATTTATATATATGATAAAATGGAGATTTTTTTATCATTTAGAATTTATATTAAGTGAAAATGTAAAATTTAAAAAAGTTACTTTGGGACCCCGGAAACAAACCAAAAGAAAAGATTATTTAAAAATAAATTATCGCACACTTTTAGAATAATTATGGCAGAATGTTTATAAATTATTATTCATTATTTTTTTAAATAAACATAGAAATGGTTTTCGATTTTATATATAAAAATAAATGGTTTGTTTAGATATAACTTTTTTTTAAATTTTATAAACATTTTATTTTTCAAATATACAATTATCTACATATTTTTAAAAGGACGAAATATCGGCCCTAACCAATCCGATAAAAAATCTCGGTACATCCCTACCAAAAAAATAAATAAATTTGTTTGATCGGAGGTAGAATCAATAAGATATAGGACCAACTCACCTCGTAACCCGAAAAATTTTAACGTTTATTTCCTATAGCTCCCTTTTTTTACCTGATTGAATATCACAATTATAAAATGAATAAATAAGAAAAGTTTAATATTTACATTCACTTTCTTATATTTTAAATAAATAGAACAAAATAGATAAACATCATTAAATTATCAAAGTTATTCTGAATATCTAGTTAATGCATAACATTTTGAGCTTGAGATTTTTTCCTATTTTTTAAAAATTCGAGCATGGGTCAGGTCTAAATCTATTTTTTTTTTGCTACAGGGCCATGGGAAGGCTTTAGCCGATAATTTTGATTTTGCAGGTCACTATAGGGAATTATTTAATTATGATAAAAATAGATTGCATTTTTTATTCACCGACACAGTTCCATAAATAATTACTATTTAGTTTTGCAGAAAATTTATTAACTATTTTTTTTCGTGCAATTATTTCTTTGTGATTTAATATGCAGCGTTATATATATTAAAAGATAAATAATTTTCAATGTCGTTGATTGTAAAATTATGATTAAGGAGAAATCAAAAGTAATTAAAGTTGAAAAAAATAAAGGAAAGGAGCAAAAATAATGTTGGGGAGTAGGTATTGTTAAGGAGGAATGGTAGATTATTTGATGAAGCGATAAAACTAAAATAATACCACAAAATTTTTTACTATAGATACATATTATGACTGTAAATAGGTGGTGCTAAATCGAAAGGTAACTCTTGCAGCAGTTATTTTTATATGTACGATCCGAAGGTTAACAAATGGACGAATCTGCCTGATATGCCTGTTCCCAAATTTGCATCTTCCGCCTCCATCCTAAACGATAAAATCTACTTGATCGGTAACAAACCACATATTACTATAGTTTTAATTGTATATTGAATGCTACTCAAATTAAATGCTAGATTTAAGAATAAACAAATAACAGCCTGATAGACTTCTTTATTTTATTATATGTGATGTTATATTCAAAATTTAATTTGTTTTCAGTAATAATTTTAACCAATGATATCCAACTTATCAGTGGCATAGCAGGATATTTTCATATGGGTTGTAATATTTATTTTTCTACAGGTTTTTGCTATTTTTTTGAAATGTGGATATCTAATTATTCAATAGAGGTTATCAAGACAACTAGGATTTATAAGAATTAAAATGAAATTAATTAGTTATAAATCAAAACCGGCAATATAAAATAAATGATAAACATTCAATGATTAGAAATAATATGTATAGGCATAAAGAATATCTTATTTTAAGAATATGAAATATAAAGGAATTAATGAATATGAAATATAAACGGATTATAAGGTGGTTACACATCTTTAAACAATATCTCAAACACGGTTGAGTGTTTCGATATTCTCAAAAACGAATGGGTTACCTCAATAGTCTCGGACATGAAGGAAAAAAGGGCTAGAGCAGGGGTTGCTTCCGCTTGTGGAAAAATTTACATGTTTGGTGGGGAAGAAAATTGGGAAAAGTATTTACTATATATAAAATTATATTTTCGTGACTCTTTAATATGTTCTTAATTTTCTGGAATCTTACCATTTTGGGAAGTCCGATATTTTTTTTATCGGATTCGATCTTTCCCCTTTTTTAAAATATCGATCGGCAGATATTTTTAAATTTTCCCATCAGATCCTATAAAATATCTTTTAAATTTTTTAATATCTAAGAAAATATCTTTTAAAATTTATTAATATCTAAGAAAATATCTTTATAATTTAAGAACATTTTAACATAATTGAAGTGACAATTTTTTTTAAAAAAATAACAAAAAAATTTGAAAATATTATAAAAAATAATAAAAATACATAATTTATTTTTGATTTTAAAACTTTTTCTTCTAAAAAATTTAATAATTTTTATTGATTATGAATAATAACTTTCTACATGATAGTAACATTTCAGCAATAAATATTACAATTTTACTATATAAAAATAAATAATATTAAATACTTTTACATTGATTGATCAATATAATTGAATAAATAAGCTTAAAATGATAAGTTAATCAGAATTTGTTAATAGAATATTTTGAATGACTTATGTTATGGCACAATCATAATAATTAAAGAATATTAAATAGCATAACGAACAACTCAGATAGGTAATATCGGATCGGTAATCGACCATATCAATTTATTATCGGAGCGGCCTCCAAAATGTAGTGTCGGTACTAGATATCTGCAAAAGTAGGTCCGGCCCGAACTAAAAATTTAAAAGAAAATTCGGGCCGGGTTGGGTCTTAGAAATTTTTAAAATATATCTAAATTTATCAATTTTCTGTTGAATTTTTTATGTAAAATAAAAATATGTGATTTTATTTATAGAAAGTAGACGCCAAATAACATATATCGTTTATTTTGAGTAATTATAAAAATTAATTTCTATATTTAAATAAATTCGGGCCGGGCCAGGCAAAACTTTATAAAAAAAATTTCGGGCCGGGCCGGGTTTGAAAAATTAGGCCCGATGCAGATAACTAATCGATACACTCCTATTTGTTGTAGGTTTATGTATATTAAGTGAAGACTAATTATTACTATAAGTAGCGTTGCTCTGGTCTTTCAGTTAGCCGAGACCAAAGCATGCTTAAAGAAAGTATTTTTAAATAGTAGAGCCGGATTTTTTAAAACTTTTATTCAGTGGTATGACTGGCTCTGATCATTTAGAGAAGCTACTTTTTTAATTTAGGGTTACTCATTTTTTTTAAAAAATAATGTAGGTATTGAATTAAAAAAAATTCAAGTTTTTAATTTTGGGTTGCTCAAATTTAATTTAGGATCATTGAACATCCCTTTGGCCATCCCTTCTGAGATCAATGCTTTTATATTAACTTATTAATTTTTAAAATAATATCTTAATTCACTAAAATACCGGTATCAAATAAGATTTAATAAATTATTTTAATTTTTTATATTCTAATTTATTAATTTTAAAAAATTATTATGTGCAGGTCAAAACTAAGAAATGTTTAAAAATAACAAATATGTTTTTTTAAAACGAACAATAAAATATAGTAAAAATATTTATATTAAAATTATCCAATTCCTAAAAGGGAACTATAATTAAAATTAAAAATTTCGATCTGGGTTAGCGTTGGTTATAAAAATTACTTGGGATCTTTTGTGAGATCCAGAGGTATATCATACAAACACATGTAAATACAGATACATTTTATACAAATGTATATGCATATATATACTATTTTTTTACAAATATATCTATTATATTAAGAGTAATTAATCAATAATTATTAATAATATTTAAAATTTAGTAAAGAGTATACAGATTAAAATGAATGCCATTTTAATATCGTAAATTTTGAGCGCCTTACATAAATTTACGAATTTTTGAGATAAGTTATAATTCGCTCTATTCTATTTTCATGTTTTATATTTACATAATCGATTGTTTTGCGTTTTAAATAATTTTTAAAGTTACATTTTGATTAAATAATGCTATGCGCAATTCCTTTAAATCAAAAAAACCCAAATCTAAAAATATTTTATTGGTTAGTCATGAAACTATTCGTGATATCATATATAGATCCATAAATAATCAGGCTAACAGTCCTCCGCAAAAAAGAAGCAGGAAAAGTTTTACAACTCAACGTGATTTGAGATGTTTAAAAATGTATTGAAGGAAAATAAAAAGTGCTATAAACATTTCTAAAAAAATCGAACGCGTTCAACGTTCATTGACAATAATCGAACACGTTCACTTTATTAAAAAAAAGGAACGCGTTCACATTCGTTCAAAATTTTATGATAAATTTTTTTAAAAATTTAATTTAATATAAATTAATATCTTATATTTTTTAACACTATATATTAGACATGTTAAAAAATAATATAGTTTTATTTTGATAAAATAATTATAAATACAAAATAATATAGCGAATATTTATTTATAAAAAAATTTTCTTATTAATTTTTATTAACAATTGTTTTAAAAAATTTCATCTGGTAGACAGAAACGCTTGGCAGTTAATACGGCATTAGCTATGTTAAAAAACGCGCTCTACAGGGGCAGATGAGGGAATTGCGGTATTATACTTAATAAACAACTCTTTCAACGTGGGGGAATTTATTAAAAACATTTATTGTTTTGTCCTTTGCCTCAAAAAATTGAGATAAGTTATCTTCCTCCAATCCATTCATTACTTACTCGTCAAAAAAAGGACTCGAAATTAACAGTTCTTGCATTATCATTAGGGTTTTCAATGCATTTGTTCAATAAAGCTATAAGTTTATTTTTTATAGGTTCGTTCTGTGGAAGTTTAATCCATGGCCAGAAGCTTGAATACTGGATGTATAATTGCAAAAAGAACTTATTGATCATCATATATAGGTTCAAATCATTAAAAAAAATAAAATATATGTATAATTGATTTGATAGCCTTAGGTTTAATAATTTTTATTAATCCCATTTAATATTTAGTCTATAAATGGCTGACCATATTTTAGGCCACTAATTTTTTAAATTTTAAAATAACTATCGTTATCGTTGATGTCAAGTAGCCCAAATGCATTTTTTCTTCAAATTTAATGACTTTGCTTAGTTATATAAATATAATATTATATAAAATAATTAATATTAGAATCAAATGTTGTTTTAAATTGGAACATGAAGATTTTGAAACTGATAAATTTTTTTGGGCACATTTTACTATGATAAGTATTGAATTAGTTCCTTCAATATAGCATGTTACTGTAAAATATTTATCATATTTGGGCCATTATGTAAGATGATGATGATGATGAAATAACATCCATGCTAATCTATTAAATTAAAATATAAACAATATTATCCAAATTAATAAACTATAATGGCGTGTTAAAAAAAATTGAAATGTGAAAAAGGAAAAACAGTTGATTATAAAACATAAGAAATTCGTATTAATATTAAATATTTCAAATAAATAAAAATAAAGTGTTTTTAAAATTGAACGAACGTTAAACAAAGTTCGTCAAAAATAAAAGGAACGCCGTTCATCATCTTTTTCAAAAAATCAAACTTCGTTCACGAACGCGTTCACTAAAAATAAACAATCATGTACCTGTCAATTACACCTGAGTGGAATTTATTGCATGTTGTCGAATTCTCTCATTTTTAAGGTTAAGAAAAGGCATTTGTTGATACAGCAAAACCAAAAAAGCATCAATCCTAGGATGAATCAAAATATATGCATATAATTTTCAGGATGAAGACAGATTTGAGCTTGAGTATTCATATTTAAAGAATTTTATAATAGTAAAGCTAGATGAAACCTTCAAAAGGCTGTCATAAAAGGGCCATAATTTTCAACAATTTTTATAACAAACATATATTTTGTCGACGGAAGTATAAATTTATCAAATTATTAAGATTTTTTTATCGAAAGTGCTCATTTATATTAGTTTATGGTTAGGGGATTTATTTTCAACAAGAAAATGAACTATGCCATACATCAAAATCGATCAATAAATTTTTATCAGGCAACTGTTTAGCTTTATCGAGAAAATGTCTGGGCATTAATATATACAAAGAAGATAAAGACTGCATAGACCTATAAATAGGATTTGATGAACAGGGTTAATTGAGAATTTTTTTAAAAGAAAAACGTTTAATTATTCGAACTCTGCCTAAGAAGAATTAAGTCAGTCATTAGCTTGTTAAAGGACTTAATCTAGTATTAAAGCTGAAATGGCGATCATCTTGGTTTCTAGAACGTTAATGGCATTCATTTTGATATAAATAATCTCATAATTATTGATCAATATTAATACATTTAACATCCGGCGTTTTAATATGATTTAGAATTGTATATAAATTTTTAATGCGAATAAAATATACATTTGAAATTAATCTATCCATAAATCAATTTATATATACAACACAAATAAAGTTTCTAGCATGAACAAACTATGGGCATATTATAAGTATTTTTAGAATATAATTATTAGCTAGCAATAGAATAAATTTGTTCACCTATATTATAGTATATTTAGATAAATAGATTGTGCTAAAATACTAATTATGTATTACCGGTCAATTTTTAATAATATTTTACTTTAATTGCTAGGAATGCATTTTTTTTAATCCGGGGGAAGGAGGTCCTTGAGGTTTATTGGAGAGACTGGGCCCCCGAATCTCTCCCGTAGTAATGTATTTCTTTTGTTATAAATACGAAAATATTATTTTAGATATCACGATTCTATCGAGGAATATGACGAGGCTATGAATGATTGGAAAATTATAGGAAATATACCTAGTCCCCGTGGTGGACTTACATGCGTTACATTGCAGGTAATTTAAATTTCAAGTGTTTAACATTTAATCTAATTTTAAAAATATTTTCTTACCACCTTCAACATCATTAACATATACTGGTCACAATAATATTAGAACGCGACCTTATGATAATGAGTACAAAAGCATAAATAATCTAAAAATCTCATTCTTTGACAAATCATCCTATAATTAAAAATTAGTCGCAATGGTCTCAATTGAAAACTGCAAATATTTGGGCTCCACTAAACAAACAAACGACACAATAGAGAAAGAAATAAAGAGTAAAATTAATCAAGGGTGGTTAAAGTGGAGATATTTATCTGGAGTGCTCTTTGACAAAAGAATCCCACACAAATTGAAGGGTTACAGTTCCATAGTACAACCAACTATTCTATATAGTTCGGAAATGGCCAACCAAAGAATCAGACGAGAGAAGTCTATAAACTATGGAGATGAGAAGGCTGAGGATGATTGCTGGGGTAACAAGAAAGGATGAAGTGCGCAGGAATACTAGGAAGTTTAAAGGTAGTGCCCATTAAGACTAAGATAATGGTAAACAGACTTAGGTGGTATGGGCACACAATGAGAAGAAGGCCTATGAATTACATAGGAAATAAGGTTGAGAGTTTGGAAGAGATGGGCAAACGTAAAAGTGGAAGGCCAAAACTTCAATGGGGCCATAAAGTTAGAGCCAATATGAAGAAGTATAAATTAGATAAAAGAGATTGTATGAATAATAAAGTGGGGATAGATATTGAAGGAGTTTACCACCAGAAAAGGTGAAAAAGAGGAGAAAAAAAATGCTCATAAACTAAAAATGAATGAATGATAAAACATAAAAATAATATAATAACCCTATTGGGATTGAACCCATATTAAATAGTTGAGAATTTAGCTATAAAATCTGGCAAAAACATTGCAAACTGTAACAATTATAAAAATAATAACGCCGTTATCACTACAAGATCTCTTAAATGACATTTTTCATAAAAAAATTTTTTGCAAAAAGTATAACCGAAAAAATCGAATCTTACTAAATATTAGATGTCTTTTATCACTTAGGAGTACGTAGGGCCCATAGCAATAATCGCTTAAATTTTGGCGGAGGGGGGGGAGCTACGGTTTTTGATATATATCAAATCGATTTTTTTATATTACGAATATGAATAAATTTTTTATTTATATTATATTTTAAAAATAAGGTAACAAAATACCACCGATATCTATAGAAATTAAAAAAATATATAAATATGAATTTTAAAAAAATCCATATATCTTTCATTTCCGCGTTTTCTTTAAGCTGTAATTTTCTTTGAAAAGATTTCATTCCCCACAATGATTTATTTTCCATATTTTGATACATGGATCTGGACGAAGATCCATTAATATTTATGAAAATTAAATTTGACAAATTATTTACTCTTTAAACTCGCTCGATTATCTACCATCATCAAAATCATAAGATGAAAAACTTTCATATTCTGCAGTACTACAGGATAAATTATCAACAGAATTAAGGAATTTTTTAAATTTATCATTAGGAATATCTTCAACTATATATTGTCGAAGCCCATCATTTTCATATTCATTTATTTTGAATCTTTGGCAGATTCTTTATTGCTTCTCGCCAAATCTCGCATTTTTTCTTAGGCCAATTTTCTTTTTGAATAAATATCTGAAAGAATTTCTAAAAAAATAATAATATAATTGAAATTTATTCAAAACATTTTACCCTCTTTTTCAAAGTTATCCATTAAGGACTGCGTGTATTTTTTAGAGTAATTATAAATTGGTCTATATTCTTACAAGTTTTGGATTTTATTTTAATGGTATATTTAAAATAAAAGTGTAATTTCTGAATCGAGCGACATCCGTAAATATTACATACAACGTCTACACTAAAGGAAGGAGCCATTTACCTCTAATTTTTTTGAAGGAGGGTAGGGGCAAGGTATTCAAGGAAGGGGGGCTAAGTAAATACTCACTATTTGTCGTTTAAAGATAAAAAAATTAAAATTTATTAATAGATATTTATTTCTAATTCATTAACATATAACATCGTAGTATAGGTTGATATAAACGCTTGTGGCTAATATTTATAATACCTTTAGAAACAACGAATTGATTATTACAAACTAAAGTTTACTTGTTATTCCTGGTCTAAATAATCATGAGGCCTGAAAGAGTTTTAGAATTGTGTGAAAGTTATTACTGATGGCTCATTATAAGATTTATTAAATTAGTATTGGTGGGAGTTATTTTTGGGTAGGGGGGCAGGGGTAGATTTTGGAAGGGAGTTGCTTTTAATAAATTTTCAGTCATATAGACGCTTTTAATATTTTAATGTCAACATTTTCCTAATGATATTATTTTTTTAAATATCAGTCAATCATTAAAAAATGGTTCATTGTAAAAAGGACCCCAAAGAACTTTATAAAAAAATCCCAATTTATTATATGTATATGCTTCAAAGATTGATTAATCCTAACTATTAACAATCTACCTATTAGAGAATTTTGAAATTCCCATTTAAACACTTAAAGGATTTTGTTAAATTTCGACTAACTCATGCCTTTAGGATTTCTAAATCGGTTCAATCCTAACAGTCGAAAGAATTTGTTAACACTGAGGTAAGACTATATTATTTTCAAGATTTAGCTATCCTTATATAAACCACGAGTGATGCTTGATAGTTTTCGCTTAAAAATTCCAATTCCCTTTTAGAGTTGGCTCAAAACCTGTGAAAAATGGAATTCACATCTTCCATACTTTAAATAAAGCAGAAACAGCAACGACATAAAATTTTTATAAAAATGAAAATATTTATGAAAAAGATTTTGACTATATAAAAATTTTAATTATTGAAAGAGAAATTTAACTGGAAAAATTTTAATGATTTTTTAAGGGGGGGGGGGCTTAGCTTCTCCTCAAAATTTTGAGAGAGACTTAAAATCAAAAAAAATAACGGGGAGGCGTAGCCCCCCTCGCCATGCATCCTTGATAAAACTTATGAATAATTATTTGAAACATTTTTTGTTAATTATTTATTAAAAATATTTTTTGTCCCTCCACAACTGCCATATGCGAGTGATATTAAGCTTCATATCTCATAATATTAAATGGTTTATAACTTTTTATTAAAATTATATAATAATTATATATTAATAATTCTCGAAATAACTTCGATATTTATATATTATATAATTTGAATAATGATAAATAAAAAGATATTTTATAATACGAGGTTAACTTACTATAATAGTCAAATTATATGGTTCCATGTCAATTCAGCGAAACTTTTATCGCGAATGTCGTTTATCGCGAATGAATTTTATAGCAAAATTTTTATCGCGAATCCACATTAACGAATATTTTTCCGCGAAACAAATATCGCGAATTTTTTATAGCGAAACTCTTATCGCGAATTTTTTATAGCGAAACTCTTATCGCGAAACCTTTAAAGCGAATACATTAGAGAGAAATTTTTATCGCGAAAATTTTATAGCGAAGTCAATATCGCGAAACGTAAATCGCGTAGACAATATAGCGAAAACTATTTTATAACGCGGCCTATTATTATTTTTTTATTTTTATTAAAATAATTTATTTTATTTTTATTTATTGTTAATATTTTATTTATCAACAAATAAACATATTATATGATATATATTTTTTATTTATATTATTATATTATGAAATGAAAAATGGATTTCTTTTATTTGATATTTTTTTAATAAAAAAAATGATATGCTACTATTGTAATATTATTTTTTGTTACAATTTATTAGTGAATTTTACACGCCCAAAATTTTAAGTAAAAATTTTTTTTAGAAGTTCAAAAAGATTTTTAAACATATTTTGATAAAAATTTTAAATCGTTTTTGAGGAATTCTTTTGTGAATTTTATTATAAATAAACAATCTTTTAGGTGAAATCTTTTATAGTTTTTTTATCATTTTTGTAAAATTATCTATTTTTTAAGTTTATTAAAAGAGGTTGGTTTTCTAAATAATATTTTTTAAAAGTATTTTTATTTAACTTATTTATCTATATGATCTTTTTAAGGATAATAATTTAATCTGACAATTTTTATATTCGTTATTGAAGATGTTCCTTGGAAAAATGACAATTATCATAATCGGTATTTTTAAACATATTAGATTTTTTTACGGTATAATATGTACACTACCGGCCATAAATGATTGCCCACCCTGCATTTTCTTAACATTTTTCTTAAAATAAGACAAATAACACACAATATGAGGTTTATCAAATTTATTTATAAGTTTACATATTATTGCATAAAATTACAAAAAATAAAAGACATAGCAATTATTTGAGATCAAATTTTGGTCTCATCAATATGACAACCTTTATTCTTAATAATTGCTTCAAAAAATTTTGGTAATCTTTCGATGAGATTTTTAAATATTTGGAAGTGATATTGTTCCATTCTCTCTGCAATACTTCCCAAAGGTGCGAATGAGAGGTTAGTGGGCTTTTTCGCGCTTGTCGATCAAGGTGATCCCATAAAAGTTCGATTGGATTGAGATCGGGTGGGATGGCCAAGTCATCAACTTGAGAATATCGTGTTGTAGATTTTGTAAATAATGTTTGCAATAGCCTGGATGTTGCTTTGGGTCATTATCTTGTGAAATAAAAAGTTATTCTCGATCAAACACTTTCCTGATGAAATCACATGGTCCTCAAGGATTTGCTGGTATCCCTCCTTGTTAAGGACTCCTTTAATTTTGACAATGTCGGCGGTTGCCCCGGCACCAAAGCACCCCCCCCCCCCCACCATAACAGACCCTCCCCCGAGTTTGACTGTAGGAATTATGCAGTCTCTAGCTGAGCGGCGGATAATTGCCTTCTTTTAGAACCGAAGATTTCAAATTTTGACTCATCACTCCATAAGACGTGGTACCAGTTGGCAGATGTCCAAAATTGATGTTTTCGTGTCCAGTCTAATCGCTTGAGTTTATTTTTTTTGTTCAAGTGGTTTTTTAACCGCTACCCTACCATAAAGTTCAAAGCTCCGACACTTATCGGGTTTTCCCTAGTCAGATTAATCTCCGCAGCTATCTCTGAGTCGACAAGGCGTCGATTGCGTTTACTTATCCTTGCTATATACCTATCATAGCTTAAAGTCGTTTTGCGGGGTCTTTCAGGCCTCTTTGGATTCGATATTGTATTATTGTTGTGTAATCTTTTAAGTATACAATCGACTTTTCGTCGAGCTAGGGTTAACTCTCTGGCAATTCGGCGATTACTTTTACCACTTATGTGGAAATTAATTATTTTGTATTTAGTTGGAATATAAATTTCTTTTCTTTTAATCATTTTGGTCGAATGTTCGTTAAAATATTTATAAAGACTGAAAGTTTCTTAATACAATGATTTAAAGCAAAAAAAATCTAGGAATTTTTTTTAAAATAATTAAAAATAGGTATTAATAAGCAGATTAGAATGTGATTAATAACTTTCTTCCAAAAAACAATGGGCAACTTAAAATTGTTGCTGAAAAAAACTAATGAACCCTATTTTACCAAATTGGTCATTTTTGACATGTTATTTTCAAAGGCTAAAATTTCCTAAAAAGATTTATAGAAATTTCTAGTTTTTTATTTCTAAACATGTCTAGACATCTTAAATTAAGTAATCAATTCGCTTTTACCCAAATAAGCGAAAAAGTTTTAAGTTATTAATTTTTTATGTAAAAATGCAGGGTGGGCAGTCATTTATGGCCGGTAGTGTATATTTAACATGTTAAATTAAAATTTTAATTAAGATACACCATATAAAAGTTAAAATTATCATAATCGTTATTTTTAAATTTTTTTGACGTAAATCGGTTGTTTAAATAAGTATTGTTAAATAATCTATATTTTAACCCAATTACATCAAAGAACTTTAAAAATAACGATTATAAAAATTGTCACTTTTCAATGGTATATCTTCATGAAATTTTAATATAGCATGTTTACAATCTATATTTTCATTTCCAACAAAAATATTCAAAATAAACTTACTAACAACGATTATGACAATTGTAACTTATCTATGGTACATCTTCACTGAAATTTTATTTTAACATGTAAGCAATTTATATTTTTGCCCATTTGCGTCTAAAAAATTCAAATAATTTTAAAATTAACGATTATGACAATTGTCACCTTTCTATGGTGCATCCTCGTGAAATTTTTATTTAACATTACAATCTATATTTTTACTCATTTGCTTCAAAAAAGTTTATAACGATTATGACAATTGTCACTTATCTAGGGTACATCTTCACTGAAATATTATTTAAACATGTTTGCAATACTTATTTTAGCCCAATTACGTCAAAAAAATTCAAAAAGTTATAAAATAACGATTATAACAATTGTCACATTAAATTATTTTCCTTAAAAGGATAATATAAAATAACATAAATAAGTTGAATATAAATATTTAAAAAAAAATTATTTAGAAAACCCACCTCTTTTAATATATTTAAGAAATAGATAATTTTACAAAAATGATAAAAAAAACTAAAAGATTTCACTTAAAAATTGTATATTTATAATAAATTTCACAAAAGAATTCCTCAAAAAAAATATATTTACAAAGAATATTAAAAATTTTTATCAAAATATGTTCAAAAATCTTTTTGAACTTCAAGAAATATTTTTTATTTAAAATCTTAGGCGTGAAAATCACTAATAAATTGTAACAAAAATAATATTTGTAGCATATCATTTTTTATTAAAAAACATCAAATAATAAATAATATGTTGTTTTCTTTTAAATAAATGCATTTGCAATATATTTATTGTTTCGCGGTAATGCGTTAGCGATAATGACTTAGCGCAAACATATTCGCCATAAAAAATTCGCTGTAAAGTGTTCGCGTAAAATGTTTCGCTAAAATGTATTCGCTCTAATAAATTCACGGTTAAGGTTTCGCGAAATTGTCTTCGCTATAAATGTTTCGCGGAGATAAATTCGCAGAATTGGTTTCGCGATTTTACCTTCGCTATAAAAACTTTTCGCGATAAACGACATTCGCGATAAAAGTTTCGCTTTGACCTGATACGAAATTATATATAAGTAAAACAAAAGGGTTATACATTTAATCAAAAATGTTATAAGTTATTTGAATGATAATACGATCCCATAACAGCGAGTTAATATTTTTGGCTATTCGATCTATCCATCTTATGGGATATGTATCTTTTAAAAGTTATGTTGGATAATAGTGTAAATATTCACTATAATTGACAAACATTTAGAATAGTATAAAATATAAATACCAAGTATCTCAATTTGAACTTCGTGATAATTTTAAAAAAAATGTTTTTAAATCCTTAGCATTTTAGAGAAATAAATTTATGTTTATTAAATTTTATAATTAAAGGTAACCACCTAATTTATGCCAATTTCAACTTTAAATAAATAAAAAATACCATTTTATTAATTCATATTTCTAATTAAAAATGCATATGTAGGAAAGCTCAGGATTTATATTATCCACAAAAATTTATAAAGCTATTTATGACTTATGTTAATGAGTTTTTCTAGAATATTTATTAATCCCTTTACGGATCCATATCTCAACCCCTCTATGGAGTTGAAGGGTAATTTTTATCTTCCCATGTTATAATTTATACTAACACGAGAAAAAGTGAAAATGAATTTTAGTACGATTTTTCTTGTAATGTAACATTAAAGATACATTTTAATATTTATTAATAATCATATCTTCAATTTTTTTAAACATTTTTATAGATTAAAAGAGATCATTACGAAAAATTCAAAAGCATACATATCGAATAACGTCAATGTTTAGTTATGCATACATTTGAGAAGAATCTCAAAAATCTGTTATGACCAAATTCCTCTTATAAAATTGTTTTGTTGAAGAATATATATCATTGTTATTTATTAATAATTATACATAACTTTTTGACCTTATGAAATAGTATTATTAACACCACTTTTAGGAATTCTATATTAAAATGAATTATACAAAATAAAGTTAATATAATATAAAAGAGCTTGCCTTATAGCATTAAGAAAATTAATATCTGGTTTCTTTTTCAATTCAGTAATTTAGAATAGAGATCTTGACAAACTGTCATTTTAAAATATTAATTTCATATTGGTCACAAAAGCCATCTTTATATTCATTCGTTTGCATTTTTTTATTTATATACTATAAATATTAGAGAATATAATATTTTATTAATTTCTATGAGAAATATTTGAAATAAATTGATTAATTATTAACTGTTGCTTAAATTTCGTCAATTTTATTTTTAAAAAAAGGTAAAATCTATTTTAGTAATTTGGTCATCATTTACAATTTAACCCTTCAATATTCCGGTGGGGTATATGAGACCCAAGGCTTGCTAGAATTGATATTATATAAAAACGGTTAATTATTATGATCTGGAATCATCAGTAGCTTCATCAAATATATCTTAGAATATAAATTCAAAATTTCATATATTTTGGCTCAATAATTTGTAAGATAAAAACATTTTGTGACTGATTGGGGTTTGTGAGACCCCACCAGAGTAAATACTTAATTTTTTTGAAATTTTTTTTATAATTATCTATGTTTCAAATTATTTTTATCATTATTACGATTTTCACATATTCTGAAAGTAAATATAATAAAATTATTTAAAATGTAATATCATTTTTCATATATTTGAGTTGGATATGAAAAAATAACATTATCATATCCAAAGAAAGAAAAGGATGTCATAATGCTATTAACCACCATAATAAAAATGTTGATACAAATGATACAAGCAAGCCTGAAATTATAACATTTTATAATATGACTAAAGGTAGGATAGATATGGTGTATTGAATGACAAAAAATGATACAATTTTAAGCAGGTCTTACACACTTCTAAACATAATATCAATTAATTCACATCATATAGCAAACACAATCCATACAAGAAGTAATTTTATATACAAAATATCAATTGAACTTATTAAGCCATATATATATTTAGAAGTACAATAAAAATTATCAGATTGTCCTGACTTTTGAAGGAATCTATTTGCAATATATTAGGAAAATCAAAATATAAATCTTATCCACTCAAGAGGAAGGTGCAGTATGTGTCCTAGTGGTAAAGATGAGAAAACAAAATATTTTTATCAAATATGGGAAAAAAAATTATGTTTGGAGCATATTAATACTTTATGTGATAAGTCAAAATTAACATATTTCAATGTCCTATATTTTTTTATGTTTGCATGTATTAATGTAAATCTTGTTTTATATTGAAGAATAAATATCAAAATAATGAATTATAATGATGATATGATAGATAAATTATTTTTTCAATTTAAAATTTAATAAAGGTAAACTTTTTTAGAAAATTTTGGCACAAATTATTATCCTCATTATTTTTAATCTAAGCATAATAAATTAAAATATATATAATTTTATCAAGTTTAAGGTTTGTTCTATCTTATATCCAAATATTAAATACAAAAGGATATATATATATTTGAAATTGGGTTCTATTAAACCCCTCCAGAGTACTAACGTCATTTTTTCCGGAGTATTGAAGGGTTAATAATCTAGTCATCATTTGCACTTTAGTAATTTACAACATTTACATATTATTCATTTTTATAATTCACATTTTATTTATCAATCGTAATTAGTATTGTTAAACGGCTCATTTTGAGCCGATTTTTTAAAATTTTAGCCAGAAAAATATTGCCTAAGTCTCGAGATTTCGATAATATATGCCTAGACCTTTGTTCTTTCTATGAGCAAAATCTTGAGGCTTGCGTAATATTTTTCTGGACAAAATATTGATTTAGCCGTTTTTAAAAATCGGCTCAAAACGAGCCATTTAACTACACTAATCGTAATACAAGGAAGTCGTGAAAGGATAAGTGATGCCATTAATCTATTAGGAAGTTAACCAACACCTATTATATAAATCGTAAATAAATATATATAATCATATCTAAATGACGAATATAACATATAATATGTAAATAGAATATTACAATAAATTACTCTTTTACTACATTTCCCCCTATGTTAATTGAGAGTCGCCTATCTCCTCAATCATTCGTTTTAGCGGCGTATTTATCCACCCTCGTCTTGGTGTCTCCCACTCTCTCTAATCTCCCGCAATCACCCGTTCCATCGTATCTGATACCACACAGTCCTTTAAATGGTCAGCTAGTTTTTGTACCACAAGATCCGTCTCGATTACATAAGAATATAATCCCTTCCTATAAATTACCCCGTTTCTCCAACCCTTAGTGGTTTCGCTCCTTATCCATACATGTTGACCAACGTCATTCCTTAACACTGGAATGTGTGTCATGTTCTCGACTTTGTTTATTGGATTTATTAATCTCATTTCCCACCTATGGTCTAGCCCAATCTAGACTAGTTCTTATCTGACGACCGAACATAATCTTCGCTGGTGACTTACCGAACTCTGTTCTCCCAGCCTATACGCTGCTACCGTTTGAGTCATCGCCTCTTTAGTTGATTCTCGACTGGCATAATACCTTTCTTCCAAGGTTCGAATTGTACGTTCCGCCTGCCCATATGTCTTCGGGTAGTACGGTGTTGAGCGAATGTAGCAAATGTTTCTTTACACAATCGCTTAAATTGTGTATAAATAAATTGACGTAATTGATGAACATTCTTTGGGTTAAATACGGCCTTAATTGCTTTAACTTTTTCCTCGCTTGGATGTACCCCATTTTGGTCGATCAACGATACTTAGAAACGAAACAAAATTCGTAAAAATTGAACTTTTTCAAAGTTGACTTTGAGGCCTGCTTCCTGCAGCTTATTGAGTACTATTTTTAAATTAGACAGATGTTCGGCATCATTTTTGCTGGAGATAATCACATAATCCAGATACACTCCAGTCACTGGGTAATCTTTCAAAACATTGTCCATATAACGCTTGAAAATAGTTGGCGCACACGAAAGCCCAACCGGCATTCTTCGGTATCGAAATTATCGTTTATATGTTGAGATGACCAAATATTCTTGGGACTCTGGCTCAACGGCCATTTGTAAATACGCGTTTTTTAGATCTATAACTGTAAAAAGGTTTCCCGCCTGAATCTTTACCAGTAAGTCATCCAACGTGGAATAACGTGATGATCATAATAGATTGGGATTTAAACTCACCTTGAAATCTGCGCAAATACGAATCTCGCCATTATGCCATTCCATGTCAAATCGATCAAAAAAGGCATATTTTCGGCCGACCCCTTTTAAAATTGTTAAAAATTTCTGGAATAATTTAGATAGGTATATAAATGAGAAAGCCGCTTATATTAGCTCACTAGTACTCCTGGTTCCCGAGATGTAGGGGTTCAAAAGTGCAAAAAAGAGCCATTTTGGAATCTGTAAAAAATGTTAAAATACTTATATCTCAAAAACTGTTTATAGTAAGAAAATATATAATATATCATATTGTAGTAAAAAAAAATCTCTAAAGGGCTATCCGAAAAATAATAAAAATTAGCGTCAATTTGAGTCTTTAACTTCGGGTTTACCTATATTGTTTTACCTGTATTTTTAAGCAAAAAAGGGAGTTTGTTTTCAAAATTTTATTTTTGCTTTTTATTTAGCCCCTTTTATAAATATATATACGATGTCAAAACCTTGGCAACGCTATCGACATTTCCATAATATACATTTTTACCAAAAATTGAAGAAAAAGGTAGATGGCGCTAATGGTTGAAAAATATTATTCTTAAGGAAAATGAAAATATTGATACGTTTATAAGAATTGTGATAAAATTTTCCAGTTCTGACCCCCCCCCCCCCCCCCCCCCACTATCCTTAAAATGTTTTACATTTTTTAGATCTACACTTTACTACTATAGCGAGCGAATGACTTATTAGCTCGATAATAACAGCTGCAGTAAAAACGAATATTTTATTAGGCATATATTCGATTATATATTACAAAATAAATTGTTTAAAACGATCTCATATTCTGCGAAATAATTTTAACCTGTCCGTTCAGATTAATTTTATCGTCTGTCTACCAATAACAATATGGATTTGGGGAGTGCAAAAACATGTATTCTAGGTGTAGACAATTAAAAATTTATTCTATATCACAGATGGACATACCAAATATTAAAATGTTGCAACCCATTTAATCTACAGAGACATGCTTATTATCGCGAGATTCTGAGAAAGATTCTACGCTGGATAACCCAAAAAAATTTACCATTCAATTTAGATATGTTAATATGCTCTTCATGGAGACAAAAATTAGCAAACATTCCTTATACTTCAAATGACAATGTAGATATTGATTTTCTCCTTCATATAATTAATCAAGAGGCTATTGATAACATTAATATATCCCTACAATCAAATGGGGAATCTCTCATTAAAAGAAAACGCTTATGTGAAAAGAAATATTCGAAGAAAAAAATATCTAGAGTAAAAAAAAGTTTTAACGACTAAAATTATACCATTATCTTCATCAAATGATGAAAAATTTGATGAAATTCTAGATACCTTAAAAATTAAAAAAATTATATGAAAGGTATTTATTATTGGAAATTTATTACATTATTAAGTGTCTAATGGGTATATGGTCACTCTGCTCCTTATTATATTTAATAGAAAATCAAAATTTTTTAGTATAAAAAGTGAAAGTATTTCATTATTGATAAGTTATCAGCAAAATTTTAACCATGATCCGTAATTTCATAAAGCACCATCTATTTTTTATCAATTTTTGGATTCGATAGCGTCGCCAAGGTTTTGACATATATATTTATAAAAGGTGTCTAAATAAAATGCAAAAAAATAAATTAGAAAACAAACTCACTATTTTGCTTAAAAATACAGGTAAAGCAATTTAGGTAAACCGGATGTTTAGAGCCTATAATGGCGCCAATATTTATTATTCTTTGTTAGTCCATTAGAGAATTTCATTACCTATAAAATGATACA